CCACCCCAGCATTGCATCCATGGAGAGAAATCCAGTCCTCGGGTGCTGCTGCTCTGCTGGGTCCAATGTGGGTGAGCCTCCCCAAAATGAGTGGCCCCCAGAAATGGGCTGGTGGCCGCAGGCATGCAGGGACCCCAAGTGGGGCTGAAGATGGAAAGCTGGGGGGGGGTCCCGCATGCATGCACACACCTTGTCCCCAAACCCACTGCACCCATTTCATGCACACGGAAACGCACGCGCACAGCACGACCCTGGCAAACTCACACCCACGTCTTGCACATCTCTGTGCACGCGTGGATGCAGACACAGCTCCGTGCACAAACAGAGCCCCGTGGGCACACGCATCCCGTGCACTCACCAATGCAGATGCAGCCCTGTGCACACACACACCGAGCCCTTCACACACAGGCACGCACCCGTGCAAACACACATCCCTGCACCAGCATCCCCCTGAGCACACAGCCCCACGCACACATCCATGCACCGCGCACAACCTTGCACGCACGCAGCTCTGCACACACACATGCATGCACGGACCCGAGCGCACCCTGTGTGCACGCACACGGAGCTCTGCACACCCATCCTCATGCACTGACATGAGTCCACACACCCATGCACACCCACCAACACCCACAGAGCTCTGCAAGCCCGTGCACCCCCACGCACACCAGCACCTCCTTGCACACGCACTCACCCCCCTCCCTGCACCCCCTCTTTCCCACTCCCTCCCTCGCCCCCCCCCCCCCCCCCCCCCCCGCCCCCGCCCCTGCCGTGCCCGGTGCCGTCGGGCGGAGCGGAGCTGCGGGCGCGGTGCGGTGCGGTGCGGGCGGCGGACTCGGCACGTGGCTCCCGCAGCCGCGGGCGGCAGGTGGGCACCGGCGGGCACCGAGGGGTCCCGGGGGGGGGCTGGAGGGGGGGCACGAGGCCCGGTGGGGCGGCCCCGACAGCGTCGCGCAGCCGCCCCAGGAGCCGCCGCCGGCGCGCACAGGGAGAGCGGGGACGCCCCCGGGGGCCGCTGCCGGTACGGGGGTGCCGCTCTCGGGGAACTTGGCGAGAAGTTCCGTCCCGGCTCCATCCCGGCTCCGGTTACATCACCAGCTCCGGCACCGGCTCCGGTCCTGCCTGCTCCATTGGCTCCACCAACGGCTCCGGTCCTGGTTGCAGCGGGAGCTCCAGCCCCGACTCCGCTCCCTGCTCGGGTCCCGGCTCCACTCCCGGCTCCGCCACCGGCTCTGCGCTCTTCTCCTCTGCCAGCTCCAGTCCCGGCTCCGCCTGCAGCTCCGCTCCCGGCTCCGGTCCCAGCAACAATTCCAACCCCTTTGCTCCGTGCCCGGCCCAGCGCCCGGCCCCATTGCTCCCGGCCCCGGTGCTGTCCCCATCCGTTCGTCCCTATTCCTTCTCTCATCCCTGTCCCATCCCCATCCCTCTCCTCAACCCCTGCTCCTGGTCCCATCGGTCCCAGCTCTTTCCCTGTCCTCATCCCCGTCCTTGCTGCTGGCTCCAGTGCCAGCCTTATTCCCGTCCCTATCCATATTCCCGTCTCCATCCCTACCCCTGCTGCTCCCTCCCCAGCCCCGACCCCGTCCCCATCCCTGCTGCCATCTCCAGCCCCGCTGCTCTCCCCATCTCCGTCCCCACCACCACCTCCATCCCCATTCCTGTCCCTATCCCTTCTGCTATCACCATCCCCACCACTATTTCCAACCCCATCCTCACCTCCCTCACCGTCCCCATCCCCGGCGCTCTCCCCATCCCCGACCTCATCCCTGCTTCCGTCCCCATCCTCATCCCCGTTCCCACCTCCCTCCCTGCCACCAGCTCCGTCCCCACCGCTGTCCTCATCCCGCCCCATCCTCGCTCCCAGCCCGCTCCCTGCCGCGCCGTGAGGCTCAGCGGGCGGCCCCCCGCCGTCCACCCCCCCGGCTCCACCATCGCTCCCAAGGGTGACGAGGACCTTCTGGCACTGGCTGCCTCTCGGCTGAGCCGCAGGAAACGCGTGGCCGGGGCGGCCGTCGGCGTGGCCATGGTGCTGGTGCTGCTGGTGGCCATCCCGCTGCTGGTGCACAGCTCCAAGGCGGCCGCTCACTACGAGATGCTGGGCAGCTGCCGCATGGTTTGCGACCCCTACCCCGAGCTGCCTCCCGCCTCCCCCCCTCCTTTCCTACCGGGGGCAAAGGGAGAACCGGGGCGCAAAGGGCGTGCTGGCGTTCGGGGCCCCCCCGGACCACCGGGACCACGGGGACCGCCAGGTGAACCGGGTCGACCGGGGCCACCGGGACCTCCAGGGCCGGGTCCTGGGGGGTACATCCCCTCCTTCTACAGTCCCAAGATTGCGTTCTATGCGGGCCTGCGGAAGCCCCACGAGGGCTACGAGGTGCTGCGCTTCGACGACGTGGTGACCAACGTGGGCAACTACTACGAACCATCGAGTGGCAAATTCACCTGCCCGCTCCCCGGCATCTACTTCTTCACCTACCACGTCCTCATGCGCGGCGGCGACGGCACCAGCATGTGGGCTGACCTCATGAAGAACGGGCAGGTATGGCACAGGACCCCCAGCAGCTCCCACCAGGCCCCCGTGCCCCTCTTCACCTCCTTTGCCCTTAGATCCCCCAGCCCCATCTCTCTGTGTCTCCACCCGGCTCCTCCAGCCCTCTTCCTGCTGCCTGCTGTCCCTATCCCTGCTCTCCCCTTCCAGTTCCCCCAGTTCGGTTTTTCCATTTTGTTTCCTTCCATCTTGCTTCTCCAATTCTGCTTTACCCTCATCCTGGCTCCCCCCAGCTTTCTGTCCCAAATTCCTGCCATCCCAGTTCAGATATTTTTTCCACCATCCAAGTCCTCCATCCTGATTCCCAAACCCATTCCCTCTTCCCCGATGCCCTACACTCATCCCCACTCATCCCATTTCCCCAGTCCCCACTCCCTCATCCCCATTCCCCTACACCCATCTTCATCCTATTTCCCCAATCCCATTCCCTTCATCCCTATTCCTCCGTCCCCATTCCCCTACACCCATCTCCATCTTCATTTCCCAATCCCCACTCCCTCCATCCCCATTTCCATCCCCATTCCCCTACACACATCTCCATCTCCAATCCCATTCCCTCTATTCCATTCCCTCCATCTGCATTCCCTCGATCCCACATCTTCTGTCCCTGCTCCCCCCAGATCCCATTTCCTTCGTCCCCGCATACCTCATCCCTTTTCTCCTATTCCTTCTCTTCTCCCCTCCGCAGAGATGTGGGGGGTGGACCAGCAGAGCCCCACAGCCCCATCCCCATCCCCACCACCCGCATCTGGGGCATCAATCCCCACTTTATGCCCAGAACTCCCACTGGAGGACCAGGGGAACACACTGCCCTGCATGGAGTGGGGTCTGCCTACCGCAGGGGTCCATCTGTGCCCCCCAACAGGCCCCAGGCCACCACCAGGAGGGTCTGCCTGCACCCTCACCTGCTTCCTTTGTTCACAGAGATGCAGCTCAGCCCTTCCCCACCTCACCCCAGACACTTTCTGTTTATTATGGGATAAAAGAGCATCGATCTGCTGTGGTGGATGCCAGGTCCGCCATCCCAATGGGAGCTGCACCCCAAGGAACCACAGGGTGGGGGGAGGCCGAGGGTGGCCGTGGGCTCCAACACCAGGGCTCTGCAGTCCTCTTTGCCCGTGGGACAGGGAAGGATGTGGGATTCAGGGACACAGTGCAGGGCCACCAAACTCGAGGGCCATGTTGGGGGGGGGGGGGGGGGGGGGGGGGGACTCTGGCGCTGCCACCTCCTGGCACCACAGCACTGCCGCAGGTGGGCGGCACGACCTTGAGCTGCCAGGGATGGCAGACTGAGGGGATCTGGGGAGGAAAGGGGGGCACAGAGCAGCTCAGCACCCCCACCCCCCCCCCCAAACCGCCCCGGGGGGGCACGGATCGGGGTGGTGGTTGTGTGTGGGGGGGTGGTCCTTGATGGCTGTGCCCCCCTCCCACCCCCCAAGGTTCGGGCCAGCGCCATCGCTCAGGATGCGGATCAGAACTACGACTACGCCAGCAACAGCGTCATCCTGCACCTGGACGTGGGTGATGAGGTGTGTGTCAAGCTGGATGGTGGCAAAGTGCACGGCGGTAACACCAACAAGTACAGCACCTTCTCAGGCTTCATCATCTACCCTGACTGAGCACTGGGGCGAGGGGGGGGTGGGGGGGCACCTCCTAAGGCACCGTCGTCATCCCCCCTGCCTCCCTTCCAAAGCCCCGAGGTGATGATGCCCATAGGGAAACCCATTTCTGCACCTCTGCAGGCACCGATACCTCGCAGCTCCTTTGCACACGCACAGCAGCCCCCCCCCCATCACACACACACGTGTGCATGCTCACCGCCGTCCCCACGCGCCTCCCCCACGTTGCACACGCGTGTGCGCTCACCGCACTCCCCCATGCGCCCACTCACAAGCGTAAATGCTCCCTGCTCACCCCTGCATGTCAGCACCCCACAGGCACTGCGGTCCCCCCTTGCTGTGCTGTCCCCCTGGAGCCCCCCTCTCTCCCCTCCCCATCCCTGAACCCCGCAGTTTGTTGCACTCTGTGTTCCCCCCAAATAAAATATAATGGGTTTGGAGGTGCAGCTGCTGCCTCGGCCTCATCGTGGGGACGGTGTGGGGAGGGACGGAGCTGTGCCCCTGTCTCGTGTCACCACAGCAGTAAGCAATGGGGGCACTGACACTGATACTGCCACCAGGGATGGGGACGGTCACCCTCCCCGCACACCCACGGGGACGCAGCAGCAGGACACAGCCCCACTGCCTCTCCTATGGGCTCCGTGGGGGCTCTGAATGAATGTGAGCGTTCCCACCTCGCGGGCACTGCTGTCACCGCGTGGCCAACGTGTGGCATTGCCACCAACTGCGGGGAAACGTCGGGGGATGGGGGCTGCCCCAGGGACGCGAAGAAGACCCCATACAGCAAAGCAAAGCAAAGCAGACAATATTTTATTCACACTTTTTTCTGCGTTCCCCCCCAACTCCCACACTCTTTGTGCCCAGAACGCCCACACTGCCCTGCATGGAGGGGGGAGTCTGCCTGCTGCAGGGGGCCATCTGTACCCCCCAGCAGCCACTTGGCCACCACCAGGAGGGTCTGCCTGTGCCCTCACCCATTCCCTTTGTTCACAGAGTTGCAGCTCAACCCCCACGTAGGTCACAGTTACGAGGAGAGGCTGTGGGTGTCCAGGGGGTCCTGGGGCATGGGGTCCACCCCCAACTCGGTCATGAGCCCCCACAGCTCCGTCAGCGCCGCTACAGCATCCGGTCGGTCCTGCACCATCTTCATCAGCTGCTGCAGGAGTAGGGCTGCACGCTGTGGGACACAGATTGAGTGTGGAGCTTGGAGTGAGACCCCCCTCCTCACCCCTGGGTCCCCCCTCAACCCAAGGATCCAACCCTGAGCCCAGGGAACCCCACAGCCCCCCTACCTGTGTCTTGCTGAGGTCCGGGGTGCTGCTGGGATTTGCCATCATCACCTTAACATCCTGCTGGCCTTCGTTCCCCTTGAAGAGCTGCACCACCACCTTGTCCTGGGGGAAGATTTCCCACAGTCAGACCACTCCTAGCACTCCCAGCCTCCCCCCCTCACTGAGGGGAGAGAGGAATGGGTGCCACAAGGGGACCAAAGAGCCCCACAGCACACACTCACCCAGGATGGGGACAGATTGTTGTTATTGATGGCAGCGTACGCACTGGGGTCAGACTGGGGGGTCACAGCCGGTCGCCAGCGCAAGGGGGTCTCCGAGGGGACAACGCCATCAGCAGGGGCTGAGGGGGCAGGTCGGGACCCCTTCCTAGTGCTCAAGCTGGCCCCCACCTGCAGGGCGCGTGGCTGGGAGATGCAAGGGGTGAGGCACGGCGTGCGGAGGGAGCTCTGAGTGCGGGGGGCAGAACGCTGCGGAGTGAAAGGGGAGAGCAGAGCAGGATGAGGGTGTGAGGGAGGGGAGTCGGAGCTGGCATTTCCCTCTCCCTCCCCTCCCATACACACCATGTTCTTGGTGACAGAGACACAGAGAGTCAAGCCAGCACTGGAGGAGCCTGCAGGGGGATGGGGAAGGAGGCTCAGCACCAACAAACCACCCCCAGAGTGCAGAGTGGGGCGGGTTGGGGGGAGGGATAGGATGTACCTGGGGTGCCGTTCTTCTTCTTCTTGGGGACCCTCAGTCCCATGGATGCACTCTCCTGGAGGGGACAAAGCAGTGCTGTCTGGGTCCCTGCTGTACTCAGAGGTGAGGGTCCTTTGGCAGAGGGGGGGCCACGGGCGGGCACCCTGCGGGCCAAGCAGGGCCTGCGCCCCACAGTCCCCAGCACAGGGGTGGCAACAGGTGAGGGGGTGACGGTGGTCTCTGTGGGGAGAAAGACCACAGGGGGGAGGGGAGGGGCTTCAGTCACGTGGAGGGGGCACCCAACCACGGAGTGCCAAAGCAGGGGGGAGGAGGGGGGAAACTCACCTGCATCCAGCGCTGGAGGCGGCGGCTGCTCCACCCCTGCGTCACTGCGGGGAACAGCAGCACAGTGAGGACCCCCGCCCCAAATACTGAGGGTCCCCTTCTTTGGGGGTAAGAGGGGGGAAAGAGGGGGGAAAGAGGGGGGAAAGAGGGAGCCCCGTGCCCACTTCCGCGTTCTGTCTGCAGCCCCCCCAGCGCTCCTTCCTGCATTCATCCTCCCCTTCCCCCCCGTTACCGGGGCTGCCCGCAGGACGGAGCGGTGCAAGCAGCGTTCGGTCGTTCTCCATGTTCCGCCTGACGGGAGCGGGTCCGCACCGGGACGCGGCCGTAAGGAAAGCGTTTCACGGTGTCGCTCGGCCCCGGAGAGCGGTTCTCCTTCTGGGAAGAGCCGCCCACCACCATCGCGCTCCGCAACCGCGCACCGCACCGCCACCGCTTTAAGTCCTCCTTAAGGCTCCTCCCGCCGCCCGTTACAGAACTCGGCGCGGCCGCTTATTGGTCCCCGCGAGGCCAATGGGAAGCACGAGGAGTGTGGATTGGTCCGCGCTGAGCGAATGGGTTGCAGCGCGGGGTTAGGGGGCGGGGACAGCGAGGGGACCATAGAGAGGGCGAGAACCATGGGGGGGGGGAAACCATAGAGAGGAGGGAGGGGAACCATAGAGAGGGATTGTTGGGGAAACCATAGAGAGGAGGAAGGGGGGGGGTGAAAATCCTAGAGAAGACAGAGGACCACGGGGAGGAAGGGTGCGGCAGAGTGACAGTGTGCGGATTGGTGGAGAGCGGCGGACCCGCCCCCGAAGGCCCCGCCCCCCCCCGAAGGCCTCCAGCCCCGCCCCCTGCAGGGACTCCACCTCCTCCAAGCTCCATTCTTTATTTGCGGCTGACGAGGTGGGGGGTTGGGTGGGCAGCGGCGGGACCCCCCCCTCCGCTCTGCTACAACGTTGAGCACAGCAGCAAATAGCAATAAATAAAGGCACAGGCATGGGGGACGGCCGCAGAGGCCTCTTCATCACTTGGGCTCCACTCCTTGCACGACTCCATCACCACCTGCTGCGGGGGGAGAAAGGACCATTGGGGCGGGCAGACCCCATCTGGGAAGGCCCAGTTCCATCAGTTCCATAGGGAGGGGGTCAGAACCTATTTGAGGGGGGAGCCCTCAAATCATTCTGGAGGGGGGGGGTTGGGAGGAGGTCAGCCCGTCCTCCTGGAGGACCTTTAAGCTGTTCCCCCCCCCCCCCCCAGTTTGGCAACTTTCCATTGCTTGTTTTGCCATGACTTCCTATCTCGGTGCACTGTAACCCAAAACAATACATGTGAAATCCAAGCAAAAAACGTCCTTGCACCTGGTGGATGCAAAGATAAAAGCAGTCTGTTGTGACTCCAGTGGGATTGGTCAGAAAAACAAGGCTGTGCGCACACCAAGCAAAGCCAATCTGGAAAGCTGTAGAACAAGCACTCATAGATTCCTTTTGCTAAACGAATGTATTCATCCTTGAAGGGACAGACTGATCTCTATTGCTAAACCAGCCTATGGGGGGAGCAGCTTCATTAGTGGGGTCTAATCCATCAGAAAAAGGGGGTGGCCTCCACTGGGGAGGGGTCAGACCCATTTGGGGAGGGCACAAATGCCCACAGCACAATGGTTTGGATGAGCACCACCCTCCACGCAGGGCTCAGTGCTGGTTCAAGCACTGGGGGAGGGAGAAGCCACCAAAACCCTTCTCCCTCTCCTCCAGACAAAGCCTTAAGGTGGGGGCACAAGGACACAGCTGCAGCCCTTGGGATCCTGGCCACCCCTCACCGCTGTTCTTGGGGGAATGGAGACAGCGGGGCGCAGGGGGAGGTGACCCTGATTTTGCACTTCAATCCAATAATGGGATTCAACGGGAAAGGGATCCTCTCCAATGGCTGAGGTCTGCACAGCTGCTGTGCTCGGCCCAACGCTGCACCCCTCGGTCTCCTAGCAGCCAAAGGGTTGCATCCACCGCCCCGTGCTCAGGGTCCCATCTCAGCACTGCCCTCCCCACAGGATGTCCCCCTGCCTCACCAGCCCTCCTCACTGTTCAGCAGCTTGCGGTACGTGGCGATCTCCACGTCCAGGGCCATCTTGACACGGAGCAGATCCTGGTACTCGTGCAGCTGCCGTGCCATCTCCTTCTTCATGCACTGGATCTCCTGCTCCAGCCTCCCCATCGCCTCCTGGTAGCTCCTGATCTCCGTGCCAAACTCATCCTCCATCTCCTGCATCTGTCGCTGCAGTGCTTCATTCTGCAGGATGGAGGAGGGACACAAAGGGACGGTAAGGCGATGGGGGGCTCCTTGTACCCCCCTCCACAATCCCCCAGTGCTCACCATGCCCTTCAGCCCATCCACCTCGGAGGTGAGGCTCTGGATCTGCCTCTGGGATTCGTTCATCTCCTGCTTGGCCACCCGCAGCGCCTCGCAGTTACGGTTGGCAGCATCCGAGAGATCAGCAAACTGCAGGCACCGTGGGGGGCGAGAGGGAAGAGGGTCAGCATTGTGGAGGTGCCCCCATCATCCCCACATCAGCAGCAAACAGCAAGGTGCTGGTGCAGGGGGTCAGCCCTGGGGGGTGTCCCCATCCCATGCATGCCCTCGTGGGTACCTTGGCTTTGTACCACTCCTCGGCTTCCTGCAGGTTTGTGACAGTGATGCTCTCATACTGCGTGCGGATGTCGCGCAGTGCAGCTGTCAGATCCGGCTGCTGCAGCTCCATTCGTGCCCCCGCCTGTGGGCTCTGTGCATTCACCTCCAGCTCCCACAGCTCCTACGTGCCCACATTACACCATCACACCACAGCCCCCACGCGGGACCCCCATCCCTCCTTGGGTCCACCCCACAACCTCCTCGTGCAGCTTCTTCAAGAAGCTGATCTCATCCATCAGCAGCTCAATCCTGTGCTCCAGCTCCAGGCGGCACAGCGTGGCATCGTCCATGTCCTGCAATGGCTAAAGCTGCAGGGACTGCAAAGAGGATGGGACCCCCCTCCCCTCCTCCCAATAGACTTCGGGCCACCCCCTGGGCAGAGTGCATGGGGCATCCCCGAGCCCTTTGCCAATTAGTGGGGGAAGTACATGGGGTGCACTGGACTCCCCTCCCCCCCATCTCACCTTGCGGAACAGCACCAGGCTCTGCTCTGCATCTTCTCGCTTCTGCATCTCATCCTCCAGCCTGGGGTGCAACGGGAGGGAGGTCAGAGTGGGGTGAGGGGGCATAGAACCCCATTTTAGGGATACGTAAGGGGGAAATTCTTTGTTTCTGGCACAGGCTGCCCAAAGAAGGTGTGGGTTTCCCACCCTGGAGGTGCCTAAGGCCAGGCTGCATGGGACCCCGGGCAGTCTGATGAGGTGGGGGGCAACCAACCCATAGCAGTGGTTGGGTTGGAAGGGCTTTGAGGTGCATCCCCTGCATCCCCCCCATCCTTACACCCATCACACACCAAAGGACCATCCCCTGGGTCCTTTGCAACACATCTCAATCCTCACCCAACATCCCCAGCCCATTCCCTGGTCGTCGTCCCCCCTTCCCGGACCACACTGGTCCCCTCCCTCGTGTGTCCTGGTTCATTCTGGAGTCCCCGTCCCCATCCCAGTACATGCTCCATCCCTTTGGGACACATCCCAGTGCATTCCCTATGGCCTTAGTCTATTTCCTGCTTCCCATCCCAGTGCATCTCAATCTCCATCCCTCTGACCCCCACTGCATTTCCTATTCCCCACCCCCAGCGTATCCCAATGCATCCTAAATCCATTCCCAGCACCTCCGGATGCATCCCCCGCTGCCCACCCCTATTACGACCTCCGCTTCACTTCCCGGTGCATCTCCACTCATCTCCAGTTCCCATCCCAGACCACAGCCAGTCCCTCCTCAACACATCCCCGTTCATCCCACCGTTTCCATTCCAGAGCCTCCTCCACCCCAACGGCTCTCGGTCCCCACCACTGTGAATTCCGCTTTACCCCATGGTCCCCACCCCCAGATCACTCCCAGTCCCTCCCCAGCACATCCCGGCTAACTCACCTCACATCACTCCCATTCTCCCCTCTACACATTTCGGTGCACCCACCCTTCCTTCCCCGTCGCATCCCGGTCCTCACATCACATCGCTCCCGCTGCCTCCCCATACATCTCGGTGTCCCGCTCCCCTCCCATCACACCCACTCCGCTCCTCCTCCCGCCGCGCACCGCCGCCGCAGCCCCTGCAGCTCCGCCGCGAGCCCATCGCGCTCTCCCTGCAGCCGTTCCCTCTCCCGGCCGAGGCGCTGCAGCCGCTCCCGCAGCCCCCGCAGCTCTCCCCGCACCAACCCCGCAGCGCGGGGAGCGGCGGCGGCGCGGCCGATGGCCGAGCGGAGGGCTCCGTTCTGCCTCTCCAACGCCCGCACCCTCTCCAGGAAAGCGGCGAAGCGATCGTTCAGAGCCGCCAACTCCGTCCGCTCCGCGCTGCGCCCCGCCGAACGCGCATCAACCGGAACCGGCGGAGAATCGAGGGTGCGGTCCCGGGGTGGGGAGAAATCGCGACTCATCGCGGCTGCGGGAAGAGGCGGCCGTCGGTTGCGGGGATTGACAGCGAACGGCGGCTCCGCCCCGGCGGGGGGACGCAGGAATGAGGAGCAACGGGAAAGAAAAGAGGGGAGGGGACTGGGGGTGGGGGCGGGGCTCCCCCAGGTGCCCCCGGTCGCTCCCTGGGCTCAGGTGGGAGCTGCTGAGTGCCAAAAGCTGCGGGGTTTGAGCATCGCTTGCGCTCCCCATCCCTCCATCACTGTCATTGAATTCCCTAATAATTCGATTTCGGTAAGGAAGCATTTAAGAAAAACGTAACGTCAGTTCTATACTGTTTTTGGCAAGTGTTTACAACACATTAACATAGATTTCCTTGCTTTGGAGAATTTTATTTTTATCGTATTGTATTGTATTTATTTTTTCCCAGCTTTGCGCTCTTCAAAACCAAATGGAAAAACCCCACGCAGCGTTCGGAGCAGCGCGGCTCTTTTCTCAGTCTCTGCTGCCACCGTGTGGCCAAAGAGCGGAACTGCAGGAGTGGCGCTCGGGGAACGGTTGAGCCCTGGAGGCGGCGGTGGCGGTTTCAGGGCCGAGGGAACTTTTAGCGGCGGTGCTGCTGCTGGTTTTATGGGCGGAGGGGATCAGGGTTGCTCAAGGCGGCTCGGACCTCCCCGGCGCCAGCACTGCCCCGCAGAACGCTCTTGGAGCTGCTTAGCGCGTCGCTCTGCCCTCCCGCTCCGAGCCTCTATTCTCTATGGTAATTGGTAATCCTGTCGCTAACATGCAAGTGTTGCGACACACAGAAGTCGCGACTCTGCACTCTGACAGCTCTGCGTCGTCAGTTCGCCAATATCTACGATAATAGGGCTTGCGACAGTACTGCGCATGTGCAGTGAAACGCGGAAAGTCTGTTTGTTTTAACCGTTCTGCGCTCCCAGACCTCCAATCTCTATGCTTCTTTGGTCCTCCAGGCTGTAGTACACATGCGCAAACAGCTCTTACCGCTCTGCGCCACGGTTCCTCCAATCTCTATGGTCTTCGGTCCGCCAGGCGGCATTACGCATGCGCACAGGCTCAAGCAAGCACTTCGGGAAGCCTGTGGGGCACACGGGGGGGCACAGAGAGGCGCTGGGGGACAGAGCATAAGGGAGCTTTGGGGTGTCCAGAAGTCATCCGCCCCACCGGGAGACGCCCCTAATTTTGGGGTGTCCCCAGTTAGGAACTGCCTCACTTTATAGAATCTCCCCATTTTTGAGGTTTCCCCATTTCTGAGTGTCCACATGGCTTCCACTAAGGGAATCCGTTTGGGGCACAGGTAGGATTGGGATGAGGACAGGGGTGGGATGGGATTGGAACGGGGATGGGATTGGGGTTGGAGAGGATGAGGGTGGGGATTGGGATGGGAATGGGGTTGGGGATGGGATGGGATTGAGATGGTGATGAGGATAGGGATGGAAGTGCTGATAGGGATGGGATGGGGACGGATCAGAATGGGGTAGAACCGGGATGAGGATGGCATGGTTTTGGGGTATGGATGAGCACAGGATGGGGTGAGGATGTGGCTGAGAAGACCCCGGGTGCCCCCCACCACGCAGCGCCGGTGCGGCCGTTCCGATCACCTTTATTGGAGGAAACCAACAGAAAACCCAACGGCGCCCGGCGCCGCGCAGCCCCACACCCCACAGCACTCCCACCCCAACAGCAACGGGGCACGGAGGGAGACGGGGGGCAGACGTGAGGCCAGACCCCCCCCAAAGGTCCCCCCCCCAAAAGAAAACCCCAAATGAAGCAGGGCGGAGCAGCAGGGCCCGGCAATGTCGGTTTTCCTCCTTTTTTTCCTTTCCTTATGCTGATTCTTGGCTTGATTTCGGCGGGGCGGCGCTGGGTTTTCTGTTCCATTTCGGTGTTGGGGTTGGGGACGGCCTTCATTCACCGCACTCCTCCTCCTCGCCGTCCACTGACAGCGCTGCATACTTGCTGGCGTGGCTGAACTGTGGGGTGCAGTGCCAGTGCTGTGAGGCTGGGCCCTGCCCCACAACCAGGCAAACCCATCCCCAATAGCTCCCAACCTGCAAAAAGCCTCAAATCCCAAAGCCCTGTAGGTCTCCTAAGCCCCAAATTCACAGAAAACCCCATACAGCCCCCAAACTTCAAAGCCTTGGGCTGTGCCCTACAGCTCAGCTGGAGTGTGGCACTGCCCCCAGCCCCATCCAACCCCACTGGGGTCACAGCCAGGTCCCATCAGGTCCTACTGGGGTCACTCCCTTAATGGGACCTGATGCTAATGCATCAGACCCAGGTCTCACCTAATGCCACTGGGTCACACCCAGGTCCTGTCAGGTCCTACTGGGGTCACACCCAGGTCCCGTCAGGTTGCTAATGAGACTTGATGCTAATGCATCAGACCCAGGTCCCATTCAATCCCTCTGGGGTCACTCCCAGGTCCTGTCAGGTCCCACTGGGGTCACTCCCTTAATGGGACCTGATGCTAACGCATCAGACCCAGGTCTCACCCAATGTCACTGGGTCACTCCCAGGTCCCGTCAGGGCACTAATGGAACCTGATGCTAATGCATCAGACCCAGGTCCCATTCAATCCCTCTGGGGTCACACCCAGGTCCCACTGGGTCCCACTGGGGTTACCCCCAGGTCCTGTCAGGTTCCCCCATGACACTCACGGGGGCTGGGCTGTCCTCCAGTCTCTTTGGCTCAGGCGCAGCTCTTGCCTCATGCTCCTTGCGGCCGTCTTTCCTGGGGAGGGATGGGGATGGCACTGAGCAGGGTGACGCAGGGCAGCATCCCCTCGTTAACCCTAACGAGCGGCACTCACCTCTCGGCCGAGCTCCCACTGCGCGCCTTCGGGCCATCTCGGCCCCCATCTGGCTTGTTCTCATCCCCTGGGGAGGAGACACGACCATGTGCTGAGGACGCCGTGTCCACCCAACCTAAAGCCACCATGCCACCAGTGCCACCAAGGGGACACTTCTGCCCCCCATCCCACCCCACTGCCTGCCCTCCTCACCTCTCCGGTGGGTGTTCCTCGGGGTGGCCCCATTCTCTGCAGGCGGGCGGGAAGCCATCTGGCTGCTGGGGGGACAAAGGGTCACAGTGGGGTCAGAATGGGGTCAGAGAGGGGGACAGGTGTGGGGTCAGACATAGGGGTTGGCCATCGGGGTTGGCTTTTGGGATAAGATAATGGGTGTCAACCACTGGGGTTGGCCACTGGGGTGAGATATGGTGGTAAATCATTGGGGTTGGCTATTGGGGTCAGACATGGGGGTCCACCATTGGGTTGGCTATTGGGGTGTTGGTCATTGGGGTGAGCCATTGAGGTTGGCCATTGGGATGAGATAATGGGTTTCAGATATGGGGTCAACCATGGATCAGAACGTGGGGGGTGATGAGTCTCTGCATCAGCCTTATAGGGGAATGTTTTTGGGATTTCAGTCCCAGGGGATTAATTTTGGGGATTCAATCCTACCAAGAACCTGCGGGGGAACAATTTGGGATTCAGCCCTGTACCAACCTCACAGGAGAACCATCTGAGGGTTCTGACCTCAGACAAATCTTATAGGGAACTGATTTGGGAAGGCCGAGCCCCACGCCAACTTTGCAGGGGAAGATTTGGGTTTCTGCCCCCCCCCCCAACCTCTGCAGGGGGAACACCCAGGACTCCCAGCCCCATGCCAAGCTCTCAGGAAACCGTTTGGGCTCCCAGCCTCATACTGAGATCCCAGCAGAACTTCGGGCTCCCAGCCCCATAACAAGCCCCCCATCACCCCTCACCTGCTGGGTGAGTGCTGCTCGGAGTCAGAGCCCGGGGAGCGGCCGGCGGTGCTGCTGCTGCGCTTGGCCCACGCGTTCTCCTTCGGGGGCGGCGCGGGCATCACCTTCAGTGGCTGCTTCTCCTCACGGCCCTCCTCCTCGCGGCCGCACGCATCACCCTCCACCGACTTCTCACTCTCCCTCCTCCGTGTGGCTGCAGGGGGCACAGAACGGTGGGCAGGGCTGGGGATGAGCCCTCCCTGCACCCCCCCCCATCCCCAGACCCCCACCCGACACCTACTCCTCCCGGTGGGACCGGTGCCGGCGGTGGTGCCAGGAGGTCCTGCGGCTCCGCTCTGCGAGGACTCGCTGCCCGTCCGTGACCGCTCAGGGTTGTCCTCACTGCGGCTGCTAGGGTACCTGGAAACGGGGGGCGGATAGGGGAACGGGGCTCAGCGTGGCACCCTGCAGAGCTGTACCCCCGCCCCACGTCCCCAGTGCCGCGTCTCCCCACCGCTCCCTGGGCCGCCGCTCCAGCCTCTTGTCGTCCTCCAGCTGCCGCTGCAGCTTCTCCTGTTCCTTCTGCAGCCTCTCCTCCACCTCACGCTCGCGGGCGGCCGTGTCCACGGGTTTGGCCCCCCCAAAGATGGAGGCGGCGCGGCTGGACTGTGGTGCAGGGGCTGCTGTGCTCTCCTCCTCCTTCGGGGCGCTGCGCGGCTTCAGGTTCAGCTTGGGGCGCTGCGTGGGGCCTGGGGGGTGGCACGTGGGGCTGAGGGGTGTCCTGCATCCCCGCATCCCGTACACAACGCATCCTGCAGTTCTCCACCACGTGCTTCATCCTGAATCGGCCATCTGCCTCCTGCACCCCACAAATCCCGAATCCCACATCCTGCATTGCCCTACACCTCCCATCCAACAGTCCGTACCCCAAATCACACCACCTGAAATACCCCAACATCCTCCATTCCATACCCCACATCCTGCATCCCCCCCCACACCTCCCATCCCAATTCATCACCTAAATCCCCCTACACCCCCCAATCCCATACCCCACATCATGCATCCCCTCCACCCCCATCCCATCCCAACCCCATCCCCTATATCCCCCTCCACCCCCATCCCATACCCCCCATCCTGCATCCCCTCCAACCCCATTCCCTAACTCCCCCAATACCCCCCACCACTCCCTCACCCCAACCCCCCCCCCCCCTCCACCCCTCACCCCCCAATTCCCCCCTCCCCATTACCCCTCTCTTCA